TAGGAGGCCATTGCTGGAGTCTAGGGGGAGTTGATTGGTGGCTCTATCAGGTGGTACTGGCAGAGGCTGTAGGATGAGGCTGGATTCAGGAGACTGTCTACAGGAAGAGCTGCAAGGTTTGCTGGTGAGAACGGTATGAGAGACAGAGGTCAAGGATGTCCCTAAGTTTCTGTCCTTCAGTCCTTAAATGAATCATGCTGCCACAGATTTGAGGAATGATTAGGTTTGAGGGGTAAACCAAGAGTTTAATTTCTGACATGTTGAGTTGCAGATGCCCATTAGATATTAACTTGGAGTTGTTAGCAGGCTGTTGCTTGGTGTTCGGTGGGGGAATCGTAGAAATCATCTGAAGTAATCCCTTACGGACAGAAAAATCTCAGTTCTCCCTAGTTGTTAACATTTATTCATTCAAGTAAATATTTCTTGAGTACCTACTGTGTGTCCTGCACTGTACCGTGTGCTAGGGAGTACAGCACGGATTTGGTCAGAAACAGTCACTATCTTCATTACAACTTAATTAGTTCACTCGCTTCTGAGACACTTCTCTGAATATTGTGTAAATACATGGAATCAACTCTCAAGAGTTATAAATACTGAGATGCTCTCTGACTCAGCAATTTGGAAGAGCTTAGATTTTCCGAAAGGAGCTATAAATAGATTTGGACAAATGACAGATTTACCCATAAAATATGCAAAGACCGTCTTAAAATGAATCAGAAGAGACTGTCTCAACCAAATTAATGTTTACGAAGAGTCAACTTGGTGTAATGGAAAAGCTTACAGGGCTAGAAGGCAGAAGCTCTGGACCTGTGTGTTCCGCTTCGACTAGGTCACATGTATGACCTTGACTGAGTCCTTGACTCATCTTGCGTCAGTTTTCTGTTCAATAAATTGAATCTGAGAGTCAGTGTTTTCTAAAGAGCCTCCAAACTATTAAGTTCTTTCTTTGCATTATTTCTTTTACTGGATTCTCCTCTTTCCAACATTTATTAAAAAAACAAAACCCCAAACTCCAAGGTGATTCTTCTCTTCTATGAGGGCTCATTTTTCAAATCAAAATAAAGCTGTTTTTTTTTTCCTTTTTGCAACTGGAAAATTCTTTTCTGATTGTAAAAATGATTCATGATCAGAAAAGCACAGAGTAAAAAGTCTCTACAATGATACCAGTGAGGTAACTATGTCTGTTTTCACCATGGTTGTATCTGCTACGTATCATATGGCAGGTGCTGAATAAATATTTGTTGAATGAATGACCACGGCTAATATCTTGTGAATTTTAGTCAAAAAAAAAAAGGGGGGGGGAGAAAAAGAAAATCCTTTCTCTGGGGGTTGTTTAGCCACTAAAGCAGAAGGGGTCAGTTACAGTCACCAGGGACTAAAATGGCTGGGAGCCTACCGGATCTCAAATTACTGGTTTCACAACAGCTGAGGTCTGAAATCTATGGAATGTGGGGAAACAGTAACACCAAATATACCATTCTGATGGCTGTAAACAGTATCAAGGGTGGCTCAGTTTGAGCAATAACAAGGCTACAAAACAGTCCAAGGGCTGACCAGGAGTGGCTCTTGCAGCTGATGGGAGGGCAGGCTCTGCCCCACAGATCCTTCCTCCCACGCTTGGATCCTCTTCCTTCCCTACAGCACCAGGATGTTTTCTTGGGGCACCTGAGCTGACCTCAACACTTTATTGAAAACCTAGCATCTTTTTGATTGTTAACTCTCCTCTCTATAAACCAAGGTGATTTTCTGATTACCTCTGGAAGTGAATTAAAGCCAGAACCTGTCTGTAGACACATGCTCCATCTTTTTCTCCCAAATGAAAGAAAGAGCTAATGTTGAAAAACTGGGACATCTGACATGTGGATCTGAATTTTCAGATCTCTTGAAAAATCACTGGTTTTCGCCCCACTGGGCCCTAATCCCATGGAGCAATCATCTAGAGCTGAGGGGCAGCCTCCTGCTCTGGACGGGGTGTTGCTCAGCTCCCTGTCATCCCCCTGACCCCACTGTGTTAGTTACATCCTGCCTCCTGTGCTCATTTTCCCAACTTGCTACCTCTAATTATGCAAAAGCACTCGAGGGGCATCTATTAAGTACCAAGCACTATGCAAGTCCTTTGGAACAGGAGTGAAAACAACACAGCTCCTATCTTGAAGGAGCTCACAAACCAACTTAGAAACTGGTTAATTACAGTGCGGTTAAGTCCACAGAAAGCAGGAACATGGCATAGCACAGGGACTCTGACCTGAGAGGCTGCTTGGAGACCTTCCTTGAAGGTCATGTTTGAGCTTGGTTTTGAAAGATGAATGAGTTACTCAGGCAGGTGGGCTGTTGGGAAATACTGCCAACAGCGGGGCTGTTTCTGAAAGCACATATAAGGTCTTCTGTTGATCAGCTGCCTGTTGCACAGGTGACCCTCTCAAGCCAGTAACTACCTTTTCCCTGGTTAATGCAGGTCTGTCTACAGTCTGTCTACAGCCCTCTGCCCAGATGTCCCCTGGTAATCAGAAAATCACCTTGGGTTTACTGAGATGGGAGTTAACAATCAAAAGGATGCTAGGTTTTCAATAAAGTGTTGAGGTCAGCTCAGGTGCCCCAAGAAAACTCATCCTGCTGCTGTAGGAAGGAAGAGGGCCCAAGGGTGGGAGGAAGGCTTTCTGGGGCAGAGCCTACCCCTTCCTTCTCTTTTGTCAAAATGCCAGAGAAGGTTCACCAGAAGAGCCTACCTGACTAATCCGCAGTCACCTCCAGTTATTTCAACTAAGGCAACACTCCCATTCCAGAGAAACTGGTTACCTAAGGGTAATTCTGTTATTTGAACCTAGTTTTGTTTTGGAACCTCCTGATAGTTGAAGAGTAGACCGGCATTCCATGCAATTAGTAAGTATTTATCAAATAATCTATATTGTACAGAGAACTGTCATATACATCATCTTTGACCCCAACAACCCAGTTGAGAATGAAGACAAAGACAAATCAACTAAAAGCAGAAGATAAATTCAGAAAACATTTATTAAGTGCTTGGTATTCACAATTTTGTTAATCCCTCCATCCATCCAATATTCAGTGAGCATTACTAGGGCCCGGCACTGTGCTTAGCACCTGGAAATCGAGCCACTTAAATATACAAGCTAGCTGGTGACATGGATAAATAAGCCCATTTATAATAAGTTACCTGCCAGGGCAATGTACAAAGTACAGCAACAATTTGGAGAAAGGAGTTTTGACTGCTTCCAGGAATACTGGGCAGGTATCATGGAGAAGATAAGTTTGAGCTGCTTATCTCGTTTTTTTTTTTTTACTTTTATTGTGACATTTTACAACATACACAAAATACAGAGACTAGTACAATGAAACTCCGCGTACCCACAACCCGCTTTAACAATTAGTGACTCATAGACATTTTTGATTCATCTACATCCTCACCCATTTCCCTCCATCCCTTCATTTTGTTTTGAAGCCAATCTGAGACATCCTTACCATTTCATCCATAAATGCTGAGCTGAGTTTGAAGAAGGAACTAGAAATGTCTAGACCTTCCACTATTAACTTCCTTTTCCCCATCTATTCTGCCAGTGACTCTGCCAGAGTTATATACTCTGATTCCTGCAGTGACTCCAAAGCCTGAGCTGGTTCAGGGTAAAGACTCAAGGCTGTATTGGACCCTTTCAGTTGGCTGAAGAAAAAGATTGAAATGACCCAGTGAAAACTCCCTCCTGCCTTATCTGAAATGCTGACCATTCTTCAGGTCCTTGGTCCTAATTGCTAATTCTTCAGAAAAATTGCTAATTCTTTAGTATATGTGCTGCCGAAGCGAGCACAGAAAAATTGCTAGTTCTTTAGAAGCTTCTTGAGGGTTGTACAAATGAACTAATGTTTGCACAATCAGGTTGTACAAACAACCTAGTGTTTGAACAAAATGGTGGCCACATTCCACGCTCCCATGTGCCCTTTACCTCCAGGGAAACCTCGACCAAAGGGGCTTGCCCTGACTGAGCCCACCCAAAGTTGCTTCCTGTCACAACTCTGATCTTCACCGGGTTGGGAATCTAGTCACATCTTAACATCTGGTTCTCTACACACACCCTCAACCCCTTTGGCATTTCCTATCTGTCTGAAAAGTCCCAACATCCACGCAGTTACTCAACCAGAACACTGTCCTGGACCCCCTCTCCCTCGGAATTCTGTCTATTCCTTTAATGCCGCCCATTATTATCCACGTCCATCACATCCTTCGATTTAGGTCCCCGAGCCCTTCCTTCAAGTACTGCAATATTTAAGCATCTTTCTGCCTTTAGCACCACCCTCCTCATTCTCCACGCAGCTGGGTGATCTTTATAAAACACCCTGTTCAAAACCCTCTCATAGTTCCTAACCCCTGCAGGATCAAGACCAACCTCTTTACCACAGACAAGGAGGTTCTGCAAAATATAAGGCCTGTCAGTTACTTCTCCAGCTTCATCTGCTACATCTCCTCCGTAGCCGGCAACCAGATGCTCTTTCTGAGGGCCTGCTTTCTCGGGTCTCTGTGCTCTTACCCGGGAAGCGCCTTTTCTCTCTCATCAGTAAGAAAAGCTACACCCACCGCGCCCTTGCTTACACGCGTGAGCTCACAAGGGTCCACAACAACACGAAGAAGTCATCATCTTCATTTTGCATATGGAGAAATTGAGGATGGGCACCTTACCCATGGCCACACAGCTACTGAGTGGAAGAGCCAAGGCTCGGATTCAGACTCGCGGCGCCAGCGGCCCCGGGCTGAACCACAGAGTCCCAGGCGCCTGCACATCTTCCACCACCGCAGCAACGGTTCCTGGCGGCGGACAGACGCTGGCTGCGCCGGGACCACGACTAGCTGATCCCGCAGAGGAACGAGGCTTCTGATTGGCTGCCTCCGGCGACCCCTGGTGAGGGGGAGGGCCCGAGGGCGCGGGGGCGTCGCGGAGAAATGACGCAACGCCGCGGCTCCTTAAAGGCGCAAGCCCCTTGCGCCGCCGATGGCGCAGGCGCGTTCCGGGGGCTCCCGCTTCTCCTCCGAGCGCAGAGAGCCGGGCCGGACAGGCGCGCGCGCGCGCGGTGCAGATAGGGCGCGCGCCGGACGCGGGCCGCTCGAGGGGTCTGGCGGGGCGGCTGGGGCAGCTGGACCAGAGGGCTGACGAGCCGGCGCCGAGATGGCCGAAGGCAGCGCTGTATCCGACCCACAGCATGCCGCGCGTCTGCTGCGAGCGCTCAGCTCTTTCCGCGAGGAGTCCCGCTTTTGCGACGCGCACCTAGTCCTCGACGGGGAGGAGATCCCCGTGCAGAAGAACATCCTGGCGGCGGCTAGCCCATACATCAGGTGAGGAGGGGGCCGCGGCGGGCCGGGCGGGGCCGCGCTGCCTGGAGCCCGGGGGCGGGCCGGGCCGGGCGTGTCCCGGGAGCTCCTGGTCCCCCTCCCCCAGCCGCCCCACTCCTCCCCGGTCACTGCTCGGCGCGGGGTCCCTCCGGGCGGACCCCCTGCCGGGCCCCGGGACAGCCCCTAAGCTTCGGTTACCCTCGGGCCAGACCCGTGCCCCCTGGGGACCCCCGGCCCTCTCGGAGCCGGAGCCGCAGCCCTCCCGTCCTCCCAGCTCCAGTGCCCACCGCCTGGCGTTCGCCCGGGCCTCCGAGCCGCCGAGGCCCCCCGGACGCAGTCCTGAGGCGGCCCAGGACCCGCACCCGCGCGCAGGGCGGGGCCTCGTCCGGGCCCGGCCCGCGGAGCCCGGCTGAAGTTTGCCGGCCGCTGGCCTCCAAATCGCGCAGTGGGCCGGGCCCGCGCGGCGAACTGAGCCGGGCGCGCCCCTCCCGCGGGGAAGCCAAACAAACACTTCCTCGCCGGCTGTGGGCAGAAGGAAAAGCTCGTGGGATCTTCTCCCTGGGATCGGCGATCCGACCCCCAAGGCCGAAGTTCCTGTCAGACGTGTCTTTTTCCACTCCCGGTGGGAGCTCTATTTAAAAGCAGGGCTGTGCCTTATAGACACGTTAAAGTAAGCTGTAGCTAATTTTAGAGCACTTACTGTAATTCTCAGTATGCGGTTAGAAGCGAGGATCATGAGATTTTAGAGACTCAGAGGGCATTTTAAAACAACTAAAACAAAGCTTAACCTGATATGCTAAGTCAACTAACCAGGTTAATTAAGGTTGATTAGATGGTGCTTAACCAAGGGTATCAGATCTTGCAAGGGGCTGTATTTTCTTTAGCAACTTTCTGCAAACTGGGTTGCTCTTTTAGTAAAAGAAAAAAAAATACTAAAAGCTGGAGAAACTGTCCAGTAAGCGGGTTAAATATAGACTAATAGTAGAGAATGCCACTAAAATTGACAGGTCAGAAAAAGCAAAATGATGTGCATGGTATTCTTAGTGCTTTGTCCTAGCACAACTCAGCACCCAAACTCCATTTTAACCTTTGCATTAGGAGAGATCTGTGCCAACTCAGAAGCAGTTCAGGTGCTCTTGTAACTTCTCCTGGCTGCGCTCTGTAAATCTACTTGGACTCTTTGTAGATCTAAAGGTGGGGTGCAGGGAGTCTTTGTTATTACCAAATTTGGATTGCCGGTATGACAGACAGATCCTAGCTGGCAGTTCCGAGGTTTGAGCAATAAATATCAAATTGGAATCGGCGGATCAGAGTCTTCCCTGTATCCAAAGTATTCCCTGTTTGGGGAAATACTTAGGATAACTACTTTAGATGCATTATTGTTGCAGTTCTGTAAGTGGCATCCAGCAGACTTAAAAGAAAATTACAAATCGCTGAACACGTGCTCTCTATCCCCTTTCCATGCTTCAATTTTCTCCATACCACTTACCACTATAATATACCCTGTATTTCACACATTTACTTGGCCCATCTTCCCCAACCACAGTGTAAGCTCTGTGAGGTCAGGGATTTTTCTTTTGTCCATTACTCTATCCCTGGCAGCCAGAAAGGACAGTGCCTAGTGGTTCAGCATATGTGTTGAATGAGTGACTGCCTGCCTTTCTTCCCCAGCAGGTTGGACATTAGATGATTGGCTCCGTTGTATTTCATTTCAGATGCTCAGTTATCCCTGATTGAGAAGAGCACTGGGCCTGCTTTCTCCTTCCAGCTTTTATTTACTCTTATAGCTGTGAGCTGTTGGCAGGTGACTTATTCTTGACTTCAGCTCACTAGTCTGATAAACGAGAAAGAAAATGTGTCTTTGTCTCATTTAATCTTTGACCTGTGCAGGAATGTGAAATAGTGCTTTGAACTCTTCCAGGTCGGCACACAAGTCTACAAAAGTAGTGGTATTCACTGCTATATCTGCTGCATGAGGAGAGGTGTGGTATCCACTTGTGACGTGGTGGCAAATAATGATAATATTTAGTAGTGCCAAATGTTACTTATTTATAATAGCAGTAATTTAGGTGTTATTAATCAAGGTGGTCAAGCTGAAAGGAACTTCAGATCTTTTCTGGTCTAACTCTGTTACTCTTCAAATAAGGAAATGGGACTCAGTGGGCCTCAATGATTTTATTATGAGAAAGTTACTAGTACTTAGTGGTTGAACTAAGATTAGACTCCAAGTTAATGACAGTTCATCTCCTACCCTAACCATACCAAGTTACAACATTAACTCATACTTAAGTATTTTTTGTGTAAGCTCTACTACTTATCGATTCACAATATGTTATAGTTTAAATGCTTATCAAGTACTTTTACATACCGTCTCATTTTGATTTTCACTTCCATCTTGTTTAGTAGGTAGGACAGATGTTTTTGACATTTTATAGATAAACATGAATCAGACCATGTGTTTTTGTCAGTGACTGATTATTTTATTTGTTGAAGTGCTAGAATGTTCTTGGTTGTCTTTTAAAATGGTCAATCTCAGGACTACTTCAAAGTAATTTGACTAATCTGTATTACTACTTCTAAATAAACTAGTTACTTTTGACACCTATGATTTTGGGCTTTTATAATGTGTCTGTTTTGTTTGAAAGGAACTTTAAAGAATTATGTTGAAACAAAATGAATTTGCATGTTCTAGCCCTTGATGTTTCTTACTTTCCCTTTTGAAGCTAAGCATTTAGGTCTGTGATATCATTAATACGTGAATTGGGTGTTCAAAAGTCTGGTAGTCTCTGACATTTTATAAAAATTTGAGTTTTGTTTATTTTTGGTTAGCCTAGTTTAACTATCCTAAGCAATGTATAGTTGTGTGGTTTAGAAACAATGTTATATATTGCTTCTGGATGCCCAACAGAGGGAACCAATTCAGCTTTGTCAGAGTAGGAATTTGGCATACTTTCTACTTAATATAGAAAAGTCTTTTAACCTAACTTATTGGTTTAATCATTTCCTGTGCTTTATCTCTGGTTTAGCATTTATTTTTCCTCCTGCTACTCTTAGCTATCATACACTAGGAAGACTTTCAGTATAAAAGGAAAAAAAAAGAAAACTCGGCTTTAGCAGTATAACCCTAATGATAACCTGAGAAAAGGTTGTGTAGAGTATGTGTCAAGCAGCGTTAGGATACAGATGCTACTGGAAGGCAGGCAGGACCTTCCACAGTCCATCATTAAGCCCAGTAAGTGGGATTCTGCTTTCCCAGTAGGCCCTCTTTGCAGCTTTTCCCCATTCTGATCCGTGAGGGACGTTTTTTCCTTCAGTTTGTTGGGAAAACTAAATCTAAATGTGGCTGACGGGGACGTCAGTCGTTTAAGCGGCTGCCTTCGGCCTGGGTCATGATCCCAGGGTCCTGGGATCAAGTCCCACATCAAGCTCCTTGCTCAGCAGGGAGCCTGCTTCTCCCTCTCTCTCCCTCTGCTTGTGCTCTCTCTGTCAAATAAATAAAATCTTAAAAAAAAAATGTGGCTGACGACCTTTAAGGATGGCAAAATTGAATTCGTTGGTATAACGACCCACAGAATCTTTCCTTTCTCAGCAGCCCTGAGACCTTCTGGGAAAGGTTCCCTGAGGCTTATAGGAAATTTCCCTTTCTCTTGAATATTGCAAAGTTTGCTTTGCTTCATGTCTGAGGCTCTTCTGATTCTGGCACAATCCCATTGATCTGATAGAGAGTTCAGACTCTTTTCTCTTATGAGCTGTGTTTCTTTGGGAGTAATGTAGGTGAAAAGGATGTGAAAATGAACCACTGTATGATTCTGCAGGGACAGGTGTAGGTTCCTATCTTCTATTCACTTTTTTTTGGTGGGGAGGGTGCTGTTTATTTATGACAGATATTCCACATCCATGATCCTTTCCAGTCAGAAGTTCTTTAAAATGGTGCCATTGGCCTTGGCCAGTCAGAGGATAAAGTCCTCTGACTCACCCAACCTGCAAATGGCCCCATAGATAGCATTGGTTTTAAACTGGCTGTTGAGCCTGCCATTCACTTTGTCAGCCTCAGCTACGGTCACCTGAACGGGTGCATGGTCCTTGGTGCCGATGATGCAGAGGAGTATTTCCACGGCACATACAGGTGCACAAACTTGCCCGTGTCCTTCTGCATGTCAAGGGCACGTCTGCTGCCACCTCCATGATCATGGGCCCAGAAAAGCCTCTGTTCACTTTTGAGAATTTCGTTTTTTGGGGGGTATCTGTTGGAACATTAATTTGTTTAGCTTTCCGTCCTGGAGAGTAAAGGGAAGAAAGATCCTCAAGATTTTTAGATCCCTTGAGTCAGCCAACAGTACAAATGGCAGTTTCTCCCCCTTGTTTTTCAGGGAAAGCTGGTCCTGTGAGGATGGGGTGGAGACATTGGGCCCAGAAGCCAGTCTAGATAGAGCATCTTGTACTGCTTTTCTGGGACTTGGTTTCCTCATCTGCGAAGTGAGGTTGGCCTGGGCACATGAACGGCAAATCTCCTTTAAGTGTGAATTGTGTGGCTCCGTGCTATTTTTGTTTTGCTTTGTGTGTATATGTTGTGGAGAGGGGGTCTGTTTCTGTTCTTACAGCTTTATTGTATCCTTTAAAGTTTTGTTGCGCATTGACAATAAAGCGTTTCCTTTGCCCTGTCATACAGGATTTGGTTGGGTATTCTGCTATATAAACCCAGCCCCATAGAGCTGTTTTGTAACAAGCATTTATTTTATGCTGTTACTCTGGATGTATTCCAAGGCCTAATTATCGATGAGCCTGTTTTGCCATTTAAATCTAAACTTTGACTCATAGATGATGCTGATGAACTACTTAAGGAGACTAATATGATCTTTGTAGGAAGTCCAAGTTTCAGAGCAGCATAGAAATTGTCATCATCCTTTCTTTGGGCCCCTGAAACCTGTCCTGTTAGTACTTGATAGGCACTAATGTCCATTAGTTTTGTCTCCTGTGTGCAGAGCATGCTGTTGGTACCCAAG